TCTCTCATTCTACAGATCCTAAATGGACATATGACTAGTATATAAGAAAACCATATTTACAAGAAAAAAAGTTATAGATCTAGAGAGAATGAGAAGTTTAGTTTCGAAATACTAAAAGATTGTATGAAACTTAGTGAAGCATAAAAATTCTATTTCATTTATCAATGCAATGGGATCTTTTGTATCGTGATATGCTATCTAGTCTGCGGTTATTTCAGTAGTAGACGCTTATCAAATGATTGAACCAGTATTTTAAAGTATTTTACTCCATAGATATAGCACAAATTATCCAGCTAGCATTCGCCATTAACGTCCTCAAAGAAAAAAGTCATCTCCATTAATGTAAAGCAGATAACCATGTTGAAAAAATGATGTCGAGTTGATTACAGCAGTTTGCTTACAAATTTGTATATGAGCGTGCTCAATATCGTTTTCCCATTTATTCTACAATTTGGTTTCAAGAATTGAAGTACTAACATTGGAATCAGATGAAAATGAACTTTTCAGTTCATCTTCGTTTTCTTACATTGATGCAAGTTACGTTCAGACTTGTCGAATTATTGTTGAATTTGTCTAGCCATTTACATTTCTCTCATCTATAATGTGTGTGTGTGTGTGTGTGTATATATGTGAGCTTTTCTACAGACGTCATTGACAGAGTAGTGTGAATTTATTGATCAATGAAGATTGTATGCAAACAACAAAGTAAATTTATTCGTAATTGCTTGACAGTCGATCGAGCATTGATAATACAACAGTATGACTTAAAAATATTTTAAAAAGTTACATGCGAAAGTATTGAGTAGAGTTCAATCAGGTATATCGATTCATTCATGAAAAACCTTCATATAAATTTGTACATGAATGTCTGAATAGTCTTGTTTTGTGTTTCATTCTTTATTTTACTTTCTCATTGTTTTTCATTGGATCATTGTTGTAAAAAAAGAATGAAAATTGAAAGCAGAAAAAAAGAGACATAAGAGGTTTTGCACGTGTTCACTTTGATTATTCTTACTGTTTGCATTAAATGGCTAAACGATGTTTGATAGAAACATGCAAACGTGAAGCTGAAACTTATTGTTATCATTGTTCAAACGATGTATGTACTAAACATTATTTAGAACATAAACAATGGATTCAAGAACAGTTAAATCCACTTGTTGATGAAATCAACTTCATCTATGATCGTCTTCATCATGATGATAAAAATCAAACAAAATCTATACCACAATATTTAATCAATGTATACAGTCAACTTGATAAATGGAATGCTGATTGTCATAATCATATCGATATTGTCTGTCATCGAGTTCGAAGTCAAATTGAGAACATTGTAAAAAGTAACCAACACGAAGAAACTCAAAAGGTAATCTACAATTTAGAATCATTAGAAAAACTGCGTCAACAACTCAAAGAATTATTAAAAGAAGGGGATGTAACATATAGACAACTTGAAATAATGAAACGACAGCTAGAAGAACTAAAAAAGAAAGAACAAGAACCAATCAGATATCCAGATATTCGCATCATAACTCAAAAAATTGATGTGAGCAAATATATCGGTGTCACTACTGATGTCAAATATCCGACTGAAAAACAACAACAACAACAAAAGTCAAGAAGTCCTCAGAAAATGTCGCCAAATAAGTAAAAACATCACCAGAGAATTGTATGTTCAAAAAAAAAAACTTGATGTATATTTTTTTTTATATAGAAATTTTTCTATACGTCATCGATTCGTTGGATGGCCTTCTGCGGGACAAACAATCGAAAAATGTCCTATGTGCTCCGAAATATTTCCTCTATCCATGACAATGGCTGATCGAACTGTGCATATAAATGATCATTTACCAGATTGAACTCATTGAGATCAATATACTATGTTCGAATAGAAGTATTAACATTATGTTTCTAGCGTTCCAGAGTATTGAATTGATCCAAATAATAATAATAATAATCAATAGAATGCACTTTCAAGTAGACCAATCAAATGGTAAGATCTTATAAGATTGTACCTCTGATCTTACAAGATCACACGGAAATCGTACGGAAAATCATAGTCTCTGAAATCTTACACAAACCCATTTAATAAGATTTTTGTAAGATATCATTATAAGTTTATGGAAAAACTTATGTGTTGGAAAGATTTTTCGTACAATTTTCATAAGATTTCATTGAATCCGTAAGAATTTTACGTCTAATTTTTTTTTTAACCTAGCCTTGTACATTTGTTCTACTTTCTGTTTCAATCAATGATGCATCAAGAATTTGTAACTATTTCAGTGAATTTCATATTTATATTTCATACTAGCAGGAGGATGTGGGTGCATGTATCTTGGTGAAATAAATATACGCCGACGCCCATACCTGCATTGAGAAAATACAGTGGGATTCAATAGTACGATCTTCTATTATCGTACAAGATCGTATTGTGAGATATTATATGTAGCGTAATGTATGATTTTATGGAAGATTTCTGAAATCGCGATTTTTCGTACGAGTCTGTACTTATGTCTGACCAAAAGTTCGTGCAACATTAAATAAAAATATAAAGATAAGGAGGTATCTTTAATTTTATTTTATCAAATGTTGAGGATAGCTGCCATGATTATTTATACCAAGTTCGATCCATTCTAACAATTTGTTAAAAGTTTTTTTTAAAGTTTTGTTTCGAAAAATTTTTTTAGATACTTTGGAAACCACATGAGCTAATCATATTCCATTTGTTGTAGAAAGTTAGCAAACTTTTGTTCGATCATATCAGTTACATTCTAGTACTACTAGTGACGGGATGTGGATTTATGTTACAGAAGTTAGTCATAAGTTATCCAATGCTAGCTGACTTATTGAAGATGAATCGTCAAAGACTATTGTTCATGAATACAAATTTTAACCAATACTTTGTTTGGTATATTCTTTAAAGTCAAATACTCCTGAATGTAGATAAAGGCAAGACTGTAAGTCACAAGTATTATATTGAAAATTCTTCAAAGCCTTTTATTAATGAAATATGAAAACAAACAGAGACATTAAGTTCAAAATGTACAAAATTGCTTGACGGTCATCGTTGACTTCATACTCATTCAATGTTATTAATTGCATGACAGAAGAAGGCATCAATATAATATCATATCCGCCGCATTTCAGTAGTGTCAAACTTGAAAGTTGAATTCAAGTATTCAACTACTAGTTCAACTATTCAACTATTCAAGTACTCAATTAGTTAACGGCTGGAATGCCACTAGAATCATCTAATATCGACAGGTATTGTATGCGAGACTACAAGCATTCCCTATGATGCTACAATTATCACCTAGAATGCTACAAGCATCCTCTAGGATGCTGCAAGCATCACGTACAATGCTACATGTATCACTTAGAATGCTAAAAGAATCCCTTAGCATGATACAAGCATTTCCTATGATACTACAGCCTTGGGTTGAGATGTTGCAGATATTATCTGGGATGCTACAAGAAGTATGTGAGAAATTTCAGCTAATGTGCAGCACTGAGTAGGAATAATGGTGTACACAGAGACGTACATGGGTCGTGGCTCTTCGAGGGGCACTTCGCGCCCCCACCCCGCGACGCTGAAACAAGAAGTGTGTTAGGTGGGGAACGCGCTTCCCCACTGAATATTCGCAGAACACTTGAGAAGTTGAAATTTGAATAGTTGAATAGTTGAATAGTTGAATACTTGAATAGTTGAATACTTGAATACTTGAATAGTTGAATACTTGAATACTTGAATACTTGAATTCAAGTTTCAAGTATTACATATATGCAGTAATGATGAGGGCAGAAGGTATTGCATAGGATGTACCGCTCAAGTGATAGGATGAACGTACAGATTGTGGTGTATTTCGTATGTTCTATTCGTTACAGTGATTACAGCTTTAGGTGTATAATTTTCATTATGAATATCAGTTCAGTCATTGAATAATTAAATCGGTAGTCGTCGAAGAACTTTGAAATGAGCTAGTCTCTGTAGACTAGTTTCAGGTATAAGATGTATATCTACAAGGTATTTCTCTATATAAGGGGCAGAGATATAGATAGTCCAAATTTAGCATCTCTGATTTGACATATTATTTGAGTACTTTGATACTCGAACAAAGCTCCAATAACTCAATCCATTTTTCAGCAAGAACACTGCCAGTAACTTTTGTCCACACCAATGTCATGCTCATAGAACTTCTTTTTTTTTTTGCTTTTCTATTATGTATATAGTGACGTCATTTCTTCAGTTATAATTGTGAGTTACATAAATTATATTATCTAATTTTCTATTGCAGTTATATGACAGCTTTGTCAAAAGTTTTAATTACGATTCCGATAAACTTTATCTACTAATATTTTATCGCAGTTATATGACAGCATTATTAGAATTATAAATTAAAAGTCAGATAAACTTTATCTTGTAATATTTTGTCGCAGTTATATGACAGCATTATTAGAATTATAAATTATAAGTCAGATAAACTTTATCTTCTAATATTTTGTCGCAGTTATATAACAGCATTATTAGAATTATAAATTGTCAGTCAGACAAACTTTATCTTTTGCTTTTCTGTCAATCTTATATGACAACCTTGTCTGAATTCCATCGGAAGCGGCATAAAGGTTGCAAAATTTGCTATGTTGCAAATATCGCATCACAGATAAGTCATATAATCTTGTTTATTTCAAAGATGCGCCGTGAAAAATTCTACAAAAACTGTAAGAACAAATCTCTGTTGACTTGTTCTGATGGTATCTCCTATACCCAAAATGAACAGATCACATGACGGTGGTATGTCTCACCGTATTTAGCATAATAGAAATATTTGAAAGACTTTTTGTTTTGCAATAAGACTTCGTTCATACGGTTTTTTGTAGAGCTTTTCACGGTGCATCGTTAAAAAAACAAGATTATATGATTTATTTGTAGTATGATATTTAGCAAATAGCAAATATTGCAATCTTTATGTCGCACCTCGTAGTATGAGACATTATATCATCTCCCGAAATGAACAACCACCATGATATTGATTTTACAGTTTTTCTGTACCATGCAGATCCTAAAACAAAGGTTCATATACAGTTATTTTTTGTTGCGAAAATGCAGCTTTTAGCACATGTAAAAACTCTTTTCTCTGAGTAAGATTCTTCGAAAACATGGTATATCCATGTAACTTTCAGACGTAGACAAGACACATCTAAGCGCGTTTTTGGACGCGTTTGGACACGCTAATATAAGAGAATAGTAAGAAACGGGTTCAAACACAGTTCATCGATGCTTCTAGACACCTTTAAACAGAAAAACACGTCTAAACGCATTCTAGATCAGACTAAGTTTTATTTTTGAATCAATATAGATACGTTTAAACACGTTTCAATAAATAATCACGTTCAAACGCGTTTCAGATATGAAAGCATTTTTACATAATCGATTTGGAAACGCGTTTTGTCACGTTTTAACTAACACACGCGTTTATATGTGTTTGAGTTACAGATACGTTACATTGCTGGAATAAATCAAACGCATCTAAACGCATTTAAGAGAACAAATGTATCGAAAATGAGTTTGCATGCATTTTAGGATAAAGAAAATAGTCACATCCCTTCTCTTGTAGATTCTTTCCATCTTTTGATGAATATTTTGTCTGAGGTCAAAAATCCAGCGAAACGGTCATAAGTTAGCTTCAACAGCCTCTGGGCAGGAGTCTTTTTAGGCTTTGGTTAGCGGCATTGAGATCTACTTACGGGTAAAACATGAACTCAAAGTAGAGGAAACACTTTAGGTACCTCCTTCGTTAAATTATTTTTACAAGCATCTCTGCTTCGTTCTAGACGCAAGTGAAGAAGGACTTTGTTTCAGCAAGACATAATGCAAACGCAATGATAAACGAACTTGATGTAATTTTGGGTTACGGTCTCATAGTTTTCGGGCTTGTTTCTCTTCTGCTGCCTTTCAGTCGAAGGAGGTCTTTGTTATATTACTCAGTTTCGACAAGAGCAAGAACGTGTTTTGGATTGCCATCAAAGAACGAAAATAAGCGGCTGGCACCCTTTTTACTTGTCTGGTTTGGTGCAGATGTTTATAAAAATGACGAAATAAAAGAAACAATAGAATATCTGCAACAAATTGTGCCGCTTGGTTATTCGACTGATGATTTCGCTGAATGTAAACGATGGTTGATAGAATACAATGGCGATGAAAGAATTCTTTTTATTGTCTCGACCGAATTCAGTAAGGAAATCATACCTGATGTTCATAATTTACCATCGATCGCTGCTATTTATGTGTATTATTTGGATAATAACATCAGCAATAATTGGGCTCAAAAACATTTTAAAGTGTGCAGTGTCAATTCTGATATGAATTGTCTAAAACGGCAACTATTAATAAAAATTCAATCATGTATGTAGTAATAACTTTGATAGTGGAGATTCATGTTTTTCTTTCAGATTTCCCGACAAATTTTCTATTTGTTCTTATCGACTTGTCGACACGTTTGAATGAACCAGCTTCTGCCATGCTAGACGCTCTATATTCGTTGGCAAACGACTCTATAGTGAATTTGAAAGACAGTTCAGCCTTTGACTTTGGTGAGCTGTCTAAAAAGACCAACTATCTTTTTGCCAGTAGTCAATTTATCGCTACATTGAAAAGCAAACCTAAACAAATCGAAGCAATTTTTATACTGGAAGACGACAAGAAAAAGGTTGACCATCGAGAACGATTTGCTACTGGTGAAAACCTCATCTTTCAGTTAGCTGATGAGATACATCGGTGTTATAAAGAAGAAGCGAGAGAATGCACACAATCTGGAAATTTATCAACAGCAAAAATAAAAGAAGAACTAGCCAATAAAAT